GCACGGGCTGCAAAACCGCCCCGCCGCGCTCCCGGGCCGGCCAGGAACATGGCTGCGCGCCCCACCGCCACCCTCGCCTGGTCGCTGCTGCTCCTGTCCTCGGCCCTGCTCTGCCGCGGCAGCCTGGCGCACTTGGCAGCCGAGCCGGACTCAAAGCCCGAGGCGGTGGTTTTCCCGGAGTCGCCCCTGCAGCGACCCACGGTGCTCGTGGCCGTTCTCGCCCGCAACGCTGCGCACACGCTGCCCCACTTCCTCGGCTGCCTGGAGCGGCTGGACTACCCCAAGAGCAGGATGGCCATCTGGTGAGCGCGGGGGCCGCCGCCGAGCAAGGGGACCGCGGAGGGAGCCCGGGGAGCCTGCGCTGGTCCGGCGGCCGGGCGGGGGCTGGGTGCGCGGAGCTGCGCACGCCGGTGCACAGGGACAACCCGCGCTAGCGCAGTGGGTACGTGTAGGTGACCATGGCCCTCTTCACTGCGCCATCCTTCACAAGGTGCTTGGTAGGCTCAATTTTCTCCCTTCCAACTCCGGACCGAGGGTTCCTTCCTAGCCCCGAGCTCGAGAAGGGTGCTTCTGCTGTCTTCCACTGCAGACGCGCGACAGGGACCACGACTTCGGCTTGCGTACAGTGTCCCGCGCCCACTCCACGGGGTCGGGATCTTGCGCCTGCCTCAGCGTCTGGAAAAGCGGCTCCCGGTTCTGCCGGAGATGGGAGGAGAGGCTGGACCCGGGGATGGCGCCCCCCGTGGCCCGCCGCCAGACGCTTCAGACTGTCCCCCTCAGTGCGTCCTCCTGAGGTGCATTCCCCACCGCAGACGCAAACGGCGCCCGGTGCACTGGGCTACTGCGGGCCCTGGTGCCCCGAGCCGCCTGCGGGAAGATTTTTTTTTTTCCCCCTGCGCGAACATTGAACAACCAAGTTTTGTCCCCAGAGGAAAGGCTTCTATGTCTAGCTCTTGTATTTGCTTCGGGGAAGGATTTGGCCAGGCAAAGAATGGGCCCTGGCCAGGGGACTAGCTGTCAAAGAACAGACGAAAGGACACGGGGTCCTGAGGATGTCAGAGCCTAGGTCTCTCTGGGGCAGTTTCTGCCAGGGGATGCTAAGGGGAAATGTCCTCAGACAAGACATATCCTGAAAGCAGCAGCGGCGGCGAGAACGTGAGGAGGAAGGATGAGGGCAGGAGCTGTGGCTGGCCCTGGCAGCCTAATGGTACCTGGTAGGAGAGGTGCCGAGGTGCAAAAGCAAACATCCATATAGTGCAGCTCTGTGCTGCGCACCCTTCACTACACAGCGCCAGTACGTGACCGCCTCCACGGACAGGCACGCCATGTGGAAAGCATGGGCACTGGGGCAACCTGGTTTTAAACCAGAAGGAAGGATTTTTTTTTTAACCACTTCCATGCTGAAAGAAAGTTTCAAAAATTCCAATTCTCAATTTTTTTTTCAAAAGAAAAGTTTTACAATATGGCTTTGGGTTCTATGCACTAGCTTTTAAAAATTGTACAATATTTGCTGTAAAGGGTTACTAAGTGGGGAGACAGTTATCAGGCATAGATTTTTGCCACCCAACTTACAAATAGTATTTCTTTTATCACACAGTAAACTTTTTTAAAGTTTTTATTTTGTTATTTTATTTTATTTTGAAGAATAAGAACAGAAGCAGAAACAAATAGAAAAAAGGAAGATACAGTAGTATACAGCTATGCATGTGTTACAGATTGTCAAAACAGGAGTAGCTAATTAACAATGGCTTTTATATTACCTATTTTTATCATATCTGTTGCTTAGGTTAACAGATATAGTTATGTAAGATTGGGGAAATAATTGAATATTAGCGCGTGCTTTCAAGAAATCTTAATTGACACAGTAAACTTTTGAGAGAAATATCGTGATCCTTATTTTACAAAGAAAGAAACAGATTTGGATCCATTTGATAACTTCACTTCAGGTCACAGAATTAGTAAATAAGACAGGAATTTGATCCCAGCTTTGCTGCTACCAACTGTCCTTTAAATGTAGAAGTGGTGGAAACATAAGTAAAATTTATATAAATCTGTAAGTTACAAATTAGGAGACTTACCCCAGCCCGCCAGGGCCTGGGTGTGGTGGCATGTGCCTATAATCCCAGCACTTGGGAGGCTGAAAACAGGAGAATCACTACTAGTCTGATCTGTGTAGTGAAACCCCATAGACCCTATACTAAATACATAAAAAATATTTGAAAATTCAAATTAGGAGGTTTGAACTATCAGTCAGTAGTTCAATATGTGATTTAGAGATAAGGTTGTATAACATACATAGATATCAAGTTTCCTTATCAGTAAAATGGGGGATTGGAATAAACAAGACTTAAAAATTCTTTTCAGCTCCTGAACTCCAGAAATTTTTTTGTGATGCAATTAGAATCAACGGGTGATAAATGTATATCCTAAATTCCTTGGTAGTCCAGGTATATGGACAATGGTTGTTGTATTTAGATGGGTAGTTCTGCATAGATCTTTGGGGTCTGTTCTCTCTTACCCTCATTCATGGTTCTTGCCGCTGTATGACATCTTTTATGGCAAACATCAGAAAGTCGAGGTGAAGCCCAAGGCTTGGGATAAGACTGTGGGCAACCCCTGTATTAGTCACTAAAGACACTTTCAAAACTCTTGGTTCTCTATTAGAACCTCTGTGTAATTTATTAGGTAATAACAACAAAAAAATGCCCATTTCTAAATAGTCTCCTCTAGCTCTTAGTACTTTATTCAAATATGTTTTTTAAAAAAGTTGAATAAAGTGTGGCTCCTTATAGACAAATATGGCTCTTTTTCCTGGGCAGTGTAATGTGATCTGGATGGCATTTAAAAGATTTGAGGGAGAACCAAAGGATTTCTAAATCAGACTGGAGCATTTGGTCATGGTAAGCTTCTAGAGGAATTGATACTTAGTCTGAATTGAGTTTTAAAGGATGACTAGAAATCAGCTCAAACCTGGAAAACAATGAGAATTCCAGAAAGACAAAACATGATAGCAGGGGCATTAATCAGAGTTTCCATTTGGCGAGAGATGTAATGAGGGTCCAAAGTTCTTGTATTTTACCACAAGGGTCTCCCTGGAAATGCTGACCTTAGACTGGCACTAGAAGAGTATTTGGCTGGGAAGGATATTGGGATAGTACCTTCCAGTTTAGACTATTATAGTTTAAAGGGCTTTGCTAGTTGTTTAGCCCTAGTTTCTTAAGGCCAAGACCTATTCAATATTCTGAAGGCTAAGCTGGCTATCAGTTATGCAAAGCCAAAACACAAAAATGATCGCAAGCTACCGAGAATGTTATGAACAGGATGTCCTTGGGATAGAATCTGGGTTCCAGCTTCCATTGAGTCTTACCTCAGTCACTCACTTTGTGCAGGGTCACTCTTATCCATTCACTTCTCCCCTTCCAAGGGCTGGGGGATTGTCTAATACTAAGACTTCTTGCCTAGACCTTTCTTCACTCAGAGGGTCAGTGAGAGACCTGGCTTGTGAATCATGTGCCAACTTCCCTGGGATGGGATTCTTTTTTCTTACCTAAAGTTCCAGGTGAGGTCTGTACATCTGTACAAACATGTGGGACATGCACCAACAACATGACCTGGAAGGCTACCCTGTCAGCATGAGTGCAGTTATCGCAGCATCAAAGTGTGTTTCTATAGATTAGGTTGAATGGAGAAAAGTTTTTATTTAGCAATAATATATGTCAGCAACCTCCCCCCTACTTTTTACATTTATCTGTGATCTCAAAATCCACCAAACTTTTTCTTTAAATATCTCACAACTCTGTGATAAAAAGGAAGACATTCTCTTGTGAATGAATTAAATAAAACATGCACTGAAGTTGTGGGAATCAGCACTCTGCTGAAATGAAAGGAGCTGGGAAGCTCTGGAGCATGTGGTAGTGTACTTCAGTGGTTCTCATTCACTCATGGAACCGTGAACAAGTGGCCTTAGCATTGCAGACAAGGCTGACTTCTTCCCTCTGTCTAAAGCTATGGTTTAGGGGAGAAAGGCTATGTATCTGGCTAATGAAAAATGGAGCAGAACACAAGGATAAATACTCGACCCAAAAGGGATGTTAAGTGTTATCCTATGGAGAAACTACTGTTGCTTGCGGGAAGACAGTTGGGTTGACACAGTCTGTGCAGTCACAGACAGTAACTGCTGCATAATTGCAGAAGGATTTGGCTTTTCATTTGAGTTTTAAAAGGTAGTCTATGAATTGGGAACCATTTGTGGATTTTTAAAATAAGTGATGATATTTTGTTGACATAAACATAAAAACAATGATGCATTTGTTTGGTTGGGGGTGCTGGTTCCAACATTTTTCATATCATTCAGTTCTGCATTTCGGAGGAATTACCTTGACTTTGTCTTCATATTTTATTCCCCAATCAGTAGCATTTTGGTAAGTGTTTAACTAGGTTCACTAAGGTAAATGTGCTTATAAAATGTTCCAAGCTATTATTAATGAGAGTTTCAGCACCAGAGATGAAAATGCTGCCCTATATTACTATCACAGTCTTGACATTAACTGTTGTATGTTAGCTCAATGGATAGAAGTTGCAGCTTGCGATTGAAAAAGTACTCATTCTTTGGTCTTCTTCTCACTATTATTCTATTTCCTTCATCTTTCCCCTCTTTTATTTTTCTGTACTCTGGTAGTATAGAAAAGGGGTGTGTAAACTTAAAGTCAGGCAAAGACTCAAGTGTTCTGTGTGATTGTGCTTACATCAGTGAACAACAAAGATACACCTCCTCATCTGAAAATGACTAATGCCTATCTCAAAGAATTATTGGAACAAGTAAATGAGATAATTCCAATGATATTTTACATAAATTCTACTAAATAAATGATTTTCTATTTTCTGTCTTCTCTTTTTTGTTTCATCTTCCTTACCTTTCCATTTGGAAATGAAGTTATAAGAAACCCACTGAACTCTATTAATATATGCAATTAGTCCATATTAATGAAATGAAATATTGAAGATATTGACAAGGAATTCCATTTATTTTCTTGCTTCCAAAGCAAAATTATCAACGTAGTGAAAACTAATATTTATGGAGAGTCTGTTCTAAATGCTTTGGTTACGTGATTTACTCCAAACACAACTGTGTGTGTGTGTGTGTGTGTGTGTGTGTGTGTGTGTGTGTTTAGAATGGGGTGTTCTGTTTACTCAGGAGGAAACTGAAGCATGAAGAATACAAATGGTTTGCCCCAGGTCACAAGATTAGTGCCTGGTAGAGCCAGGATGTGACCTAGGAAGCTAATATCCCAACTAAGCACAG